AGATGAAACGTGGCGGCAATTTGTGGGAGATATTTGCTCAAAAAGAGGGCTGGGATGACCATCATGGAATATGCCCAGTAGAAATCACGTGCACGAGAAAAATTCCATTCGGTATTTTCCAGTGATGGTCTGAGGTGGAAGGGCGGCACCCATCGGACTGTTTTTTTATGCATTTCTAGAGCATACTCACACCAGGACTTCTCTTTGTCCAAACCAACTTGAACATGCAAGGTGAGAGCATCCACTGGAAGTTCACACCGCACCAGAGAGATGACACATGAACCAGTGTTCCCACTCAAAATATGAGAAGTTTACAACTGGAGAGTTCTAGTAACCAGCGGCAGTTGCCGCAACTCAACACTGCAATCCTGACTCAGGTATGTACTCAACTCCTCCTCCCTTGATATCTGGCTTCTCTCTCTCTCTCTCTCCCTGTCTCTTCTCTCTTCTCTTGCTCTTGTCTTCGTCCTCTTGACCTCACTGCGCTCAAGCTCTCCCTCTCCCTCTCTCCGTCTAGGATCTGCCCTGAATACAACTGCGGTGTATTCCCCGAACCTCCGCGGCTATGGCCGTCTCCTTCCTTCTCCCTAGCTGTGGTGACCAGTCGTCTCCTTCCTCGTTGGGCAATTGCTCCTCTCCTGGTGCCCCCTCCCATCCACGTGGCACTGTCGCACAAGTAACCCGCAGTACTTCCACAATTCGCACATGAATAGTTGATCCTTCCTGCTGATGCTGCTGAGTTTTTATACTTGCTGATCCGCCTTCCCGACATCTTCTGTTGGTTATGGGTCGGCCCTCTTGCCTTTGGTCCCTGCTTCTGGAAACTCAGTGACACGGATTCTTCCTGGGTTGGGCTGGTTGCGTGGATCAACTGACACCTAGCCTAACGGCCCTGGTAATCCTGGCTGAAGTTGTGGTTGTGGTGCCTCCTCCTAAAGACAGACTTGTCAACCCGTAACTGTTATCCCCAAAGGACTTCCTACCACAATCTACTTACCTAGCTCACTTAGGCCTCTGCAATCATGGTACAAATGAAAGCTACTCTTCTAGAGTATTCGTGCATATGAGTCAAAAAGCTACCCATAACTGTTATCCCTGGAAGCGAACCATAATTATAGTTGCACCTGGCTGAATCTGGCTTTAGTCAAAAAGTCCTCGTGTCAGTAAGCCGCTATAGCACGTGTCTAAGCACAATTATAGTTGCACCTGGCTGTGTCTGGCTTCGGTCAAAAGGTCCTAGTGTCAGTAGGCCCCTAGCATGGCAGACCAATACCCATCAGCTCTCCTTGCATCAGACACAAGGGTACAGAGAATGGAGCACAAGCTACCTGCAGTCTATCTCTAACCCATGCTTTTGCAACACAAAATAACCCCC